GGGCTCTGATCAGGGTGTAGTCTGGAGACCCCCAGGAGGGGCGACAAACTCCCCCAGGAGCCCGGAAGACGCCCCGCCGGAGCCGGCTGTGGCCAGCGGAGGTTCCGAGCGGCAAACCCCCTTTGGCGGCAGTGGCTGAGCGGTTTCTAGGCGGAACCTCGGCTCCTGTGCACACAGTGACGTGTGCAGCGTCCCTGCCGCTCCCTCACAAGTGCAGTGACAGCCCCCAGTTGGCTGCAGAAATTGAAAGAACCACAGTGAGGTCATTGCTGTGTCTCCATCCCAGCTGTTACTAATTGGCTGCTGTGTTTGGAAGAATGCCCTTTCGGAGACGTCCGGTCCTCCTCCTCAGAACCTGTAACTATGCTACTTTGTATGACAAAAGGGACTCTGTGATTAAATGAAGGGTCCCGAGCAGCCTGGATTATCCAGGTGGATCCAATGTCATCACAGGGAAAGAGGGGAGGCTGGAGGGTCGCAGAAGATGTGACGAGGAAACAGAGCGGAGGCATGCAGGGGGTGAGTTAGCGAGTGTGGGTGGCCCTGAGAAGCGGGGAAATGTGAGGATTCTGCCCCGAGCCTTCACGAGGGATGCAAGCCTGTCAGCTCCTTAATTTCGGCCCCGGGAGGCCCATTCTGGTCAATGGGCCTCTGTGTCTTGTCACAAAAGACAACACATTTGTGTTATCTTTGAGCCACTACATTTGTGGTCATTCGTCACAGTGGCCACAGGACACAGACGTCACTGCGCATGATGCGCACTCCAGCTCCGTCTGCAAAGACCTGCAGAGCGTGACAGCCACACCCAAGGCGGGGGTCCCGGTGTAAATACGCTCGCTGTGAGAAGACAGCTTTGAGGCAACTGGGGAAATTCAGACACAGGCTGCTGCATGTCATTAAGAACTGATTGCTAATTTTTTTATTATTTTTGCGGGAAGTACTTAGGTTTTTTTATTTTTATTTGTTTGTCTTTCAACAGAGGTGCTGGGGATTGAACCCTGGACCTCGTGCATGCTAGGCACGTGCTCTATCGCTGAGCTACACCCTCCCCTTCTCCCCAGTTGCTAAGTCTCGATAGGTCTGACAGTGGTACCGTGGTACTGTAAGAAGTTTTCTGTCCTTAGAGGAGCACCCTGGGGCCGGGAGGGAGTGGTGTGGCTTGATGCCTGGACTCAGCTTAAACACGTGACAGGGCAGGAGGAGTAAGAAAATGAGGGCGTTTAGACACTTGGAGACGACTGACTGCGCGTGATGCCCCAGGGGCTTCGTGGACTGCTTGCCCTTGTGGGAGTAACTTCAAGGCTCTCGGGGCAGGGACGCACCACACAGAGCCCTGGCACCTGCTCCTGGACCAGCAGACCCCGGCCGGCCTCGCTCTGAGAACTGACGGAGACCCCTGTCCACGCGCGTACGCGAAGGTGCCCGGGCATCACCCTGGAGCCGCATGCGGATGCCTCCGGTCGGGCTGGTTACAGACCACGTCCCAGCAACCGGCTTTGCCCACGTTCCCGTGCAAGCACTTCTCTGGGTCAGATTCCCAGAAGCGGAATTGCTGTACCGAATAAACAAGTGTCAGCTGAGATGACCATGCTCCCTCTGAACCGTCCCTGCAAATTCATGAAATCATGCAAAATGAGCGAGTATAATGTTTATATCCTCCTCCTCCTCTTGGGGAAAGTGTGCAGGTGAATTTCTCAAAGTCTCACTAGAAACACTGGAAGCCTCCAGCCCCTCTGAGCTCCTTCGGACACCCTGAAACCTAGGAGCTCTGGACACCTGGGGTGGGAAGGTAGCCCCGTGCTGTGCTGGCAGGAGGAGGAAGTGAGAGACCCCGCTGACCCCCACCGACAGCCAGGAAGGACCTGGCCCCGCTCCCTCCACCGCCCTCACCCAGCAAGCATCCCACCGAGAGTCCTGGAGCCACCAGGGGGGCCCTGCCGCCAGTCATGGTCAACAGACAACAGGAGACGATGTGTGCCCGGCCACGGTGAACTGAAGGACAGGGCCACTGGACAGGTATTTTGTTTAGACGATAAAGAAACACACCGTCATCAGTGTAAAAGAATTACACATAGCAGCCGTGGGGCCCTGTGTCCATGGGGCCTGGCTCGCGGTGCCCGGAAGAGGCAGCGGCTGAAGAGCAGGCGCTGGGCTGAGGCTTGGGCGGAACCGCCAGGAATCCCCGAGTCCCCAGAAGTGGTCTCCATCTTCATCACTTGTTCTCCACCCAAAACCCAAACAAGTCCTGTGTAGCCTCTCTTTAGGAAACACGGTACTTCCCGCCCCACCCCTCGACTCAAGTCCTAAATAACCATCCGTGCAGCAGCAGAACCGGAGAACTGGACTGAGCCTTCTCCCTGCCCCAAAGCGGCAGAGCTGCGCCCCCTGGTGTCCATTCCCCGCAGCACGCGGGGGTTCCCGCTTCCAGGGCAGAGCAGCTGTTCTGTCAAAGGTGCAGCTCCAACTACGGCAAAGTCTGAATTCTGCCAAGTCCGTCCATGACTGTAGCCTGGTAAATACACCCACAACCCTCACACCATCACCTGCAAGATCTGGCACGTCTTCAACCAGCTTCCAACAGCTGCCAAACAGAAAGAGTTCAAAGACACGGGTTTACAGATGCAGCAAATCCAGCTGCGGCAGAGCACCCCACGACGCAGCCGCACAGGTCTGGAGCAGCCTGCGCCGGGCCCACCTGGTGCAGCCGGGTCTGTGATGCCAAAAGCAGGCGCTGGCTAAAGGTGCACCGGGGCAGGTGCGCCAAACCCCACTGCGCGGGATTTTCTGCAGCTGTCGAAAAAATGAAAATGTACACACCCAAGCTCACAGCAGCACAGTCACAAAGCGAACAGGTGGAAACAACCCAAATGTCCGTCCACGGACGCGTGGATAAACAAAATGCGGTCCACCCGTGACAGTGGAATATTTCTTAGCCTCAAGACGGAAGGACGTTCTGACACCTGCTACAATGTGGATGGGCCTTGAGGACATCAAGCTCAGCGACATAAGCCAGTCACAAAAGGACAAATACTGCTTGATCCACCGATATGAGGTCCCTAGAGGATTCAGATTCATGGAGATAGAATGAGGGGCTGAGGGGAGGGGAACGGGGAGTGAGCGTTTAATGGAGACAGAGTTCCGTTGTGGATAATGGACTATTCTGCAGCTGGATGGTCACACAATAATGTGAATGTGCCTAAAGCTGTAACCCAGTAGGAAATCTGGGGCCAGAACAAACCTCCGCCTTGTCCTCCACCTACCTCTTGTCTGTAGAAAAAGCACAGCCTCCAAGACCTTCTCTGAGTTCCCGCAGGACCAGGAGGCCTCAGGCAGCGGAGCCAGGGTTCAGCCTGGCCTGGGGGCGCGAGGTGTCCGGAGACAAGGTCCCAAGCTGTTGTCCACCCTGGTTCCCCCGCACAGACACCCATCAGCCTGCCTGGGTGAGACACTCAGGCCAAAAACCTCTTCCTTTCATACCCTTGCCCTCCACATCCAAGCCATCAGCCAGGCCTGGCCGCCCACCTCCCAAGCTCTCCCTGGCCCGTCTGCTCCGCCTCCACGCCTGCACCCTGGTCCCCCTCCCAGGATCAGCTCCCTAACCAGTCTTCCCTGGCTGCCTTACCCCTCAACATGCCAAGCTCCGCTTAAAAAAAAAATTAAGCTTTATTAAGGTGTAATTCATATACCATAAAGTTTACTCTTTTAAAGTGCACAGTTAAGTGGTTTTTAGAGGTCCCTGCCTCTCACTGTGGCTAGAAGAGGGCTCCTAGACCCAGGGGTCTGGGCTTACTCCAGGAAGGTGGAGCTGGAGGAATTCAGGGTCACCAGCAGCCCTGGGGAACCCGCGCCGTCCTGCAGCGTCGTGGCCAGATCCGGGCCAGGAGCTCTGGACCTGCATCCTTAGCACAGTGTCTCCTTGGAGCCGTGGCTGCCCGGCCCTGCCCATCGGCCTCTGAGTTGGCAACTCCAGGGTCTGAACTAGCGGGAGCTCTTCAAGCCCACGTTGTTGCCGAAGCTCTCCGGATGGGTTGTTTTCTGCTTTTACCAGGGACGTCCAGCTCAGGTCATGGGGTCACAACTTGGTCACACAGTTTAAGAGACTCAGACACCCCTGCTCAGTTCCCAAGGGCGGCTGGAGAAGTGACGTGATTCTCACCCCAAAGCAGACAGAAGACGCCCATTTCACAACGACTCCACCCACATGGACTCCATCCAGCCCAAGAAGGGAAGCCCCTGCAGCCCCCACGGGATGTCCGCAGACGGGCTGCGGGCAGGTGAAGCCGGGACTTCAGGTCATAAATCCTCGGGCCTCTTTTTGCCTTAGGAGGGTTTTTGTTTGTTTTGTTTTGTTTCAGTTGAAGTGTAGACAGAAATGCCAAGGGAGCCCAAAGGGGTTGGGGACCATCCCTCGAGGCCCCAGGCCCCCAGCCAGGCCTCCTCCCAACACCTCTCGGCTGATGAGGGGCCCGCTGGCCCGAGTCTCCTGCTAGAGATCTAAGGGCGGCAGCACTGGCTGGTGACAGGCTTTAGGCTGTCAGAGGAAGGAGGTCCCTCAAGGACCCTGTCCCCTGGTCTAGTCACAACATGCTGGGTTGATTTTTATCTCCTGCCTGAAACTGGCGAGGAGGGGAGACTCCCCCTCCAGCCCTCCTGGGTTCTGGTGGCTGGACTAAGAGTAACACCGACACAAGGCAGGTTAGTGGGAGAGAAAGAGCCCCACCTGAGTCCCTGCACGTGGAGGCCCCACAGAAGCGGCCGAAGCAGCAGGGCTCGTCCTTCTTAGACACAGCAGAGACAGTAAGACGCGAGGCATTGCCAGGGCCGAGACTCTCAGGTTTGGAGCCCAGTGGGTGAAGACGCTAAACAGGCTGTGCTCAGGGCGGCCAATGAAAGGCGCCAGGAGGCTTTTGGTTTTTCACAGTTTTCTGAATGTGTGAAACGTCCGTTTGTCTCCAAAGCCGAAGCTGCATAGTCAGATCTGTTCAGAGAAGTCCTTTTTGTAACTCTTATTTTTTATTGAAGTGTGGCTGATTTACAATCTTAGTTTCAGGGACACAGCAAAGCAATTCAGTTATACAGATACATGTATTTTTTGTTCAATTTCTTCTCCATGGCAGCTCATTACAAGAAACTGAATACTGTTCCCTGTGCTGTACGGGAGGCCCTTGCTGTTCATCTGTTTTCTCTGCAGTCGTGTGTATTTGAAGGCGGTGGTTCACCTGGGCTTCTCGGCCCGGAGTGCCCGTCTCTGGCGACAGGGTGTCCTTCTGCATGAAGAGGCGGGGGGGGGGCACCTTTCACATGGGAGGTTCGTTTCCTGCTTTCAGGGAGACGGAGAGGAGAGTCAGAGGGTCTTATGTTGACCGTTTCTGAAATAACTTTAATTCAAGATAATCAATATGGCATTGAGCATATTTTGGGGTGGGCTTCCCTGGGCCCCCTCAAAACAGAACCGCTGGAGTCTGTGAATAAGAGCTCTCTCCCTGGGGCCCCAGAAGGAACACTGTGTCCTTGTGAGCCCCCAGTACAGCTAGCTCAAAGTTCCAAAACCCGCCTCCTTGGGAAAAGTCTTGCATCGAGTTCTCCGTATCTCCTTACCCCCAGTCACAGCCCCAGGCATTTCCCCCCACATCTTCTGAGCATAAGAGCAACGGTCAGGTACAGGGACTGGCTGAGCGGGCTTACTCCCTGCCCAGCTACTCCCACCGCCAAGCCCAGGAGACCTGGCTCCTTGTCATCCTTCAGCCAGGACATTGTGGGGGGAAGGCCAGTGGAAACCAAGGCCGCTGTGTGACCACCACTTCTCAGGAGGGGACAGCGGTCTAAGGGCCTCAGGGAGGCCTTTGGGCCGCACTTGCTGTTGGCAGTCATATTTCCATAGAAAGAATTAGGCCAACCATGAAAACACAGGCCCCAGTTGTTCTAAAACAGAAAGCAGCCCTGGCTCAGAGCGAAAACAGAGCTCTAAAGATGCTTCCGGCTGGGCCAGCAGAGCCCCACCAGGAGACAGGAGCCACACGGTCACGTGACCGGGAAGGTTTGTTACGAAGAGCTGTAAACAGGGCCTTGGAGTAACAGGGAAGTGGCAGTAACCGTGACAGAACACTAAAGAATACAGGAAGGGTGGACGCAGGGAACGGCCCTCAGACCGACGGGGACACCCCCGACACCGCAGACCTGGCTGGATCAGCCCGGCCTGCCCCCAGTGTGGCCCCAGTGTGGCCGGCTGCGTGGGGCAGGCACGGGGCTGACCGCGTGGGGAAGCCGCGCAGGGCCTCACCAGTGGGACTGCTGGAGGTCTGCCCTCAGGGGTGCCAGGAGGTGCCTCGGGACTCTGCAAAGCCACCCAAGGGAGTGTGGGAGAAGCTGCTCGTGGGAGGTGCCCTGCCAGGTCACTCTAGGGCGGGGGCCGTGGGAGGACTGGCCACTGTGCGCTGCGGGGCCTACACACTGGAACCAGGACGAGAAACCCTCCCGCCACCATGTCCCACTGGTGCCTGTACAGACGGGGCTCAACACCACTCGGCCGCGAAGCAGAACCATTCGCAAAGCCCAGAGCAGCGAAGAAGGGAGGCCTTGATGGTGGGAGTAGCAGACTGAGAGCCATCACGAGCCCACGCCCCCAGGCCCGTCCGCATGGTCGGCCGTCACACAGACACCCACCGCGCATGCCCTCCACAGCCCCAGGCCAGGGACCATCTACATAGGTGACTGAGGCCCATGCGAGGGTGCCAGACCTAGTTCACAAAAGTGCAGGACAAAGTTCAGGTAAATGACAGTCAATCCCATGCAATGATGGAACACACTCACACTAAAAATCTATTCTTCCTTTATCTGAAATGCAGATTTAAGTGGGACGCCTGTGCTTCATGTGACACCCGGACCCCAGCACTGCCCAGGGACAAAGTGTCTGATGGACACAGGAAGTGCCATCAAGGCATTTCCCCCCCGCATCTTCTGAGCATAAGAGCATCGGTCAGGTACAGGGACTGGCTGAGCGGGCTTACTCCCTGCCCTCCTCCCCTCTTCTCCCCGGGGCTGGCCTGGCCATTGCTCCTGCCCTCAGAGTGTCCCTCTCAACGCACAGTGACCCCTCCTCACCACTTCTCAATCGCTCACAAGCATTTCCTGGAATCCTCTGGCTGAGCTCCAGGTCTGAGTCATCCAGGGCCAGCTGTGCTTTGGAATTCAAAGCATTCAGAGCTAAAAAAGACAAACATACAAGTGAATAAAAGCACATACTATATATTGTTTAACCTCCGTCAGGGCCTGGGGTGGGACCCCAACCTCAAGCACACCAGCACTTCTGCAGCCAAGTCCACCCTACTCAGGGGGCAAACACCCCACACACAGTGTTGCAGCCTGCTCCCAGCTGATCTATGCAGTAATAAAGCAGTTCCCGAGATGCTGAGGTCACCACAGGTGGCACGTTTTCTAGTCCTTCTTATTCCCAAGGAAAACGTTACAAAGCTTCAAACACACACCAGTTCGAGCGAAGCTTAATGCCTGGACGTGTCAGTGCCGTGAGTCGTCTCCACACCTGGCTGCAGTGGCTCTGGGGGGAGGCCCAGCATTGTCGTGTGACTCCGGTCACCAGGCTGGAGGTGGGCGCTGGAGGATGGTTGTCCCGAGCCACGATGCAGCACCCCAGAGACGGTGCTTCCTGGCACGTCTCCCAGGTCACCAGCTCAGAACTAAGCTGTCTCTTCAGCTGGGTGAGTGCCTGCTGGCTGGTCAGCGTTGAAGCCAGCAACTGGCAGGTCATACATTATGACCTGGTAGTCCACAGGGGCTCCCCCAGTTTCCACGGGGGCTCCCCCGTCATCCCCACTCCTCCTCCTCTGTGTTCGGTCCATTACCGGGATTCCTCCGTCCCTCAAGGAAGTAATGAGACCAGCCCCCGTTCCCTGCCCAGCATCTCCTCCACGTCCTTTTCACCTTACACTTTCGGTTGATGAACTTCTGGGGTAAATGAAGTCTGCCCAGAAATAGACTCACGGACATAGAAAAACAAACTGCGGTTACCAGGCAGGAAGGGGATCGGGACAGATTAGCAGTTTGGATTAACAGGTACACACTGCTTCACGTAAAGCAGATAAACAACAAGGACCTACTACTGTATAGCACAGGGAACTATATTCAATTTCTTTTCTGTAGTGGAAAATAATCTAATATATATATATAAAAAACTGAATCACTTTGCTGTACACTTGAAATTAACACTGTAAATCAACTACACTTCCATAAAACATAAGAATTAAAAATATATATATATAATGAAGTTTGCTATCAACTTCCTCCCTCCTGCGGGCGGGTCTCCTCTCCAGCCCATTTGAGCGCCATGTCCTGCGCACGCCTGCCCACGCCTGTGTTAGGGAGCCCCCCGCCCCCACTGCCCAAGCACCAGCGACTGGGGAAACGGCCGTCTCTTGGGCGAGTTTATTCCAGAAGCCCTGGACCTAAGTCAGCAGCAGGAAGCATCCTCCCATGCCGCCCCCTCCCCCGCTCCACCTCAGAAAGGCGTTCGTTTTCACTCTTCACGGGGTGTAAACTCCTCTCACAAGTCAGGGCAAAGTAAACGTCAGAAACAGCCCTTTCAGAAGACACTCGGGAAGGAGCCGTGCGGTGCCGCCGGGCAGAAATAACGAAACGTTAGTTGTCCCTGGGCCCAGCTTACCTGCAGTGAATTCACGCTGCTGACTGAAAGGGACTATCCAATCAGGCAGAAACCAGTCCTTGGGTATCCAGTGCGTGCTCGTTTGCATAAGGGGACGCAGGGACGCATTCACCACGCGCACCTGTGGCAGCTTCACCCCGACTCAGCCTGTGCTTTGTGACCTGAAACAACCCCCATCTGCACCCTCCTCAACCACCCTAATGCCTCTGCGGAAATGCGGGACAGGACCCCCGCCTCCTCAGCTCTGAAGACTGGTGCAGACTAGGTTTTTGCACCGGTACCATCTTGGCAAATCCATCGGGATGCTTTTCCATTGTTTCCCAAAGGGAAGGTTTTCCACCACATTTAGATTGTTCTCCATCACAATCCTTCCCACATTTCCACCACCAACCTTCTGAATATTCGTGCTCACCTTTAAAGATCAGCTCTTCCTGCAATAACAGAGCTGTCCCATGAGCAGCAAGTCGCTGCCTGGCATCCGCTGGTGTCCTCACTGCGAACGTCAGGTCCACTCCGGTCAGCATCTCCTTCCCCGCCCACCTCCCACCTGCAGTGGTTTCCACGTCTCAGTGGGTCTTGGACATCACCAATACTGCAAAACCTCAACTGCCTTTCCTTTGATTCCCAAAGTCATACATCATGTGGGATCCCAACATCCCTGGCTTCCTGATACTGGCAGGGTCAGTGCTTCTGTGTCTCTCCCATAGCAAGCTGTGGGGTGTGTAACTCTTTTTCATGCATGAATAATGCAACTGAGCCCGAAGTCACAAAAGGAGAAATAAATTTTAAAATTTAAAACACACATCAGCAACCCACAGAGGTGCCTGCACCCCTGGGAGCACGAGACTGCAGCAGTCAGGTCAGGTCAGATTTTGCAGCAAATTGAATCTTACCACCAAAGTTACAGGGGGAAAAAGGTTGTTTTTAAAGCTTTTTGCATTTTGGTTGCAGCTAAGGGGCTGTGGGTCTGTTCTACCACGGAATCAAGGGAAAGATAGAAGCGGGGAGCGGAAAGGGCTCACAGTTCAGCAAGAGGGAACCATCAGCAAACAGAACACAGCTCAGCAGTGCCAGCTGCTCCTGCTCACTGATGTCGGGGAGGAAGACCTTCCCCTCTCCCTGTCTAGGGTCATCCAGCTGCTCTAAGAATTAAATTGGCACATGTCAGTTTAACAGGAGAACACCAGACAGAAGTCGAGTAACGTGTACACATGGGAGAAACCCAGGAAGTATCTCACCAAAACGGCTGCAGCTCTCACCTTAAATGCCATCTCAGCTGAAGACAAAAGACGGTGTTTGGGTGGATGGCGTGGGACTTCAAAGGCAAGGAAGGCAATGAGCACAAGGATGGAAAAGCACGTGTTGGGTGAACAAATGCTCGTGGGCTGTGCAGAGACACTGAGACAGAGGGACTCCGATCTCTAGGTCTCCCCGCCACACCCACCCATTCTTTGCAGATATCTCTGGTCGTGGCTTTGTTCCGGGAGAAGGCCCTTTGTTCATTTATTTAGGCAGCTAACGGGGAGGTAAAAAGAAAGACTTCCCGAGTCCTGTTTCTCAAAAATAATCAGCCTAAATTAATCCTCCTGCCAAAGAGACACATTTTGGGGTGGCAAATTTTGCTCACCTACAGTGAGCACCTGCAAGGTGCCAAATTCAATACTACTCACCAAGGTAGGTGTTACCGCTCCCATTCATAAATGGAAACCCTGGGTCCAATGAAGTTTAAAACCAAGCAGCCACCTACTCCCCTCCCTGTCAATCATTTGTTAAATTCTAACCTCCAATACAATGGTATTTGGAGAGGGAACCTCTAAAACATGATCAGGTCCTGTGGGCACAGCCCTTATTTATGGAATTAATGTCCTTATAAAAGAGATCCCAGAGAGCTCTCCCTTCCCCTATGTGAGGGCTGTTGGGTCCCAGGATAGGCCATCTCAAAATGTGCCTTCATGGCATATTGATTATTTTGAATTAAAGTTACTTAAGAAACAGGCAATGCAAGAGGGACACTCTGACGCTTCTTTCTGCCATGTGAAAGGTGCCCCCTCTGCATCTGGAGGAAGGACACCTTTATCACCAAAGGTGGGGAATCGGGCAAGAAGCTTACACAAACAAATCTCGTTACTTCTTTAACTGGGCACCCACAACCTAAGTTTCTTGGTCCTGTCAAGTGCTCACAAATTTACTGCTTCTTTGTCTAAAAAGTATAAAAGCTGCTGCTTTGGCCACTTCTATGGGACCTCCATGCGCATGAATTCAAATGAGCTTTTCTCTCCTGTTAACCTTTCTCATGTCAGTTTTACTATTAGGCCAGCTACCAGAACCCAAGAGCGGTGGAGGGGAAATGGCCCCCTCGTCAACAGGACAAATAGGATCATAGCTCCCGCTGTGACACCCATGACCTAAACAGCAGTTCAGCAACTATGTGCAAAGCCCAGGCTCTTCAGAGCTGCTCTGAGGTCTGCACGAGAATCTGATTATCTCTGCCTCTTCACATGTGACCCATCCTCAAATGTGTTCCATACCAAATTTTCACACACTAGAGACCACCAGGATAACTCATTTCTGTGTAGCCCTTCTCCCAGAATAAAACTCGTGTTGCATCCCCCAGACTTCAGAGTTGGGTGGGCAAATATACCAGTGTGAGTTTGCCCCAAATAGAAAAAGATGCCTGCAGGCGGCCACTTGTTGAAGAACTCCTAGGAAAAGTGAGACTGGAAACATCCCATGTGCCCATCAACAGGCGATTCGTTGAACAAGCGACTCATCACCATACAGTGGCGCTCGGGGCAGTCAGGACGATGACCACGTATTCCTAGGGAGCCACCTCCAGGATGGATGGTGACACAAAAGAGGGCAAGGTGGGAAAAACAGTGCTGGAAAGGATGGGCCTCCAAAAAATAGAATAAACTAGGAAAGCTGAAAATGGGGAGCTCCGCGGGAAGGACCCGGCGTCCCCGTGGGTCTGACCTCGTGCTCCGCTCCTGCACCTGCCCCTCTCCCCGCGTCGTTCCCTGCGATCCAGCTTTTCCGCGGTCTTCAGGATTTACGTACTGGGAGCTACTGCGCGTCCCCAGACCGGTCCCAAGCCCGAGACCCCGCGGCCCCCGGCCCCTGCGCGCCCACCGCCCGCACCGCTCATGTTTGTGGGTCAGGCGGCTCGGCCAGAATACGTGCCGCTGGCCCCCTGGACGATCGGGGCCCCTCCGCACCCCGCCGGGCTTTCCCGGGACCCGGGGCGCCCCGACTCCGTTCCCTGCCTACGGCGCCGCTGGAGATGGGGTCTCCCCGGGGGAAGGGTTCGGAGGGCGGTGGGGGTCCCACAGGGAAAGTGCGGGGAGGGCGCGCCCCGGCCTCAGCCCCCGAGACTGCGTGGAGAAGCCCCTCGCCCGCGGCCTCCTCCTCCCCGACCGCCCTTTGCGCGCTCGGCTTCTCAGGGCACTGGGGGTGCCGGCGGGAACCGTGGGCCTCAGCCCCAGCCCCGGGCTCGCGGAGCCCGGAGGGCGGGCGCGGGGCAGGCGAGCGCCGGGTGGGGTTGCCGGCGGGCGGCGCGCGGGCTCCCGGCTGAGAGGGCGGCGCCTCCCGCGCGCGCCAAGCCCCGCCTACGCGCAGGCAGCGCCTCTCCCGATTGGGCAGCGCCTCCACGTCGTCGGGGCGGGGCGAGCGTCGTCGCGTCCAGGTGACGTCTCCCGCGGGCGTCGGGCGGGGTCGTCGGCGTCGGCAGCAGTGTCGGCGGTGGCGGCCGGTGGGAAATGGCGGAGTACTTGGCCTCCATCTTCGGCACCGAGAAAGACAAGTGAGTGAGAGCCGGACGCCGGGGATCCCGGCCGGGGAGACGGGCGGTGTGCGCGTGGGCTCGGCAGCGTGGTCCCGGCGGCGGCTGGAGGCCCGGCGGGCCGGCGGGGGAGGGGCGCAGCGGGCCTTCCGGCCTCGGGAGCAGCGCGCCGCCGCCTCGTGCGCC